AACCCGTACACGTTCCCGGGACATCGCCCGTTACTTAATAGTGCCATGCGCAAGACAAATGTGAGATGGTATTCGTCATCATCTGTACCCCAGAGGTGGAGACTCCTGCACGATGTATAACTATTAACTATTTTTATTTTACCAGGTAAAGCCCACGGAGCGATGTAGCTTTTTTTCAGAAGCGACCCGGCCACAAATGATAGCTCAACAAAGTGGCTTACCGTGTGGAAATAGACAGCAACCACATACTCGAAAGGCGCGTTTCTAAATGTGGAGGGGAAAACCGGAGAACCCGGAGAAAAAAATCCCACGTGACTGTAGGGAGAGAGACACGCAAGCTCCAAATATACAGCAGGCATAGCAGTTGGGATCGAACTCACGACCTCCTGCATACCAGGCAACGGAATCAACATCTCGCCATCGCGTTTTAAGATCAGAGCCTAATTCGTTCACGGTAAACTCTCACGATCACAGTGAGTTTCGTGGCCAGATGGATCAACCACCTTCGGTGAAAATATACCCTGCCCACACACGATGATGGTAATTAAATTCTCCCAGGGATCGAACCCACGACCTCCTGCATACCGGGCGAGGGAGATAACATCCCCTAGCCACCGCGGTGCCCTCGATGTAAAACGCGTGACAGCGGCTACCTTCTTGGCATAAGTCTCCGCGGAATCCGATGGGACACACGCAGGTGTAGTTGCTGGCATTGTTGCGGCACTTGACGTTGTGACGACACCGCTGCTGGTCGCAGTAATTGACTGCACGCACACACACGCACGCACACGCGCACGCACGTGCACGAGGAGGGGGGGGGGGGGGGTTCGTCACGTGCATCCGGTGAGCGCGCGTGGCCGCGAGAGGCACAGAACGCGCACGCGTGAGGCAGACGGCGACCGACGCGGTGGCGGCAGCGGCTATCGATGGTGTGCAGGCGGTGCAATTGCGCCGCGGGCCCGGGCACTGAGCTAACGAGGAGGGGGTGGAAATTAAAACGCACGGCACCACTGCGATCGCGTTCCCGGCACCACTGCCATCGATGCATTGCGTCAGCTCGTTCGATTAGTGGGAAATATTGAAGGGAAATATTTACGTAAAAACAATACAAATTTTTTTTTAAGCAGTGCCCAAGTCATCGCATTTTGACGGGTGAACATTTGCCAAATGGTAGCAAGGGGTTGAGCCTCGGCAGTGCTTGGATGGGCGACGGCCATGCATAACAGGTGCTATAGGCTGCGGTGGGGCTACGTGGTGAGCGGCACAGGGCAGTGGGGGAACGTCCCACGTCTACGCTCCCCGCCTTCACCAACCCGCACTGACCAGCGTGGTGAAGTATGGTCAAGTAACCCCCACGACCCACACTGCGTAAGGAGGCCCTCATCCAGCAGTTGATTGGCAAGGTGCTGTCTTGCACGTCATTATTACTGTTGTTGTTGCTATTTAGTAGCTGGTGCATTTAAACATTGATTTGTGTGAGGCCCTCATGGGCAGTGGATGTGTGGTTGCTGGGTGATGCATGCTGTTGTGGTTCAACTGTTAGAAGGAAGCTGTTCTGTCACATTCTCCGTGACACGAACGCGAGACATCGTCCTTAGAAGCTGTTAGTTCCGTGACAATCCCTGTTACACTGACACGTGACATCGCCGTTAGAAGCTGTTAGTTCCGTGACAATCCCTGTGAGACTGACACGTGACATCGCCGTTAGAAGCTGTTAGTTCCGTGACAATCCATGTGGCAGTGACATGTGACATCGCCGTTAGAAGCTGTTAGTTCCGTGACAATCCATGTTACACTGACACGTGACATCGCTGTTAGAAGCTGTTAGTTCCGTGACAATCCATGTGACACTGACACGTGACATCACCGTTAGAAGCTAATTAGTTCCGTGACAATCCCCGTGACACTGACACGTGACATTGCCGTTAGTTCCGTGACAATCCATGTGACACTGACACGTGACATCGCCGTAGAAGCTGTTAGTTCCTTGAAAATCCCCGTGACACTGACACGTTAGAAGCTGTTAGTTCCGTGACAATCCCTGTGAGACTGACACGTGACATCGCTGTTAGAAGCTGTTAGTTCCTTGACAATCCATGTGACACTGACATGTGACATCGCCGTAGAAGCTGTTAGTTCTGTGACAATCCCCGTGACACTGACATGTGACATCGCCGTTAGTTCTGTGACAATCCCCGTGAGACTGACACGTGACATCGCCGTTAGAAGCTGTTAGTTCCTTGACAATCCCCGTGACACTGACACGTGACATCGCCGTTAGAAGCTGTTAGTTCCGTGACAATCCCTGTGAGACTGACACGTGACATCGCCGTTAGAAGCTGTTAGTTCCGTGACAATCCCCGCGACACTGACACGTGACATCGCCGTCAGAAGCTGTTAGTTCCGTGACAATCCCCGCGACACTGACGTTATTGAACAGCAGTTCGTTTTTGGCACGTTAATTGTTAATTGAATTAAAGGAGCAAATGCATGACATAAAACGAGAGAGGACAAGCTTGCCGCTGGCTGAGCACGCGATGGCCCGAGGCGCGGCGTTTAAAGGCCACGGCTTCTCCGTGTTTGTCAGCTTCCCCACGAGCCCTGCCCTTGCACTCTCAAACCGGATGCCCCGTGGAGAGGGCAACGACCCCCGGCGGGCGTCGTTACACCGACGACGACGACACCGCGCGAGGAAACGACGGCCGGGGTTCGTCACCGTGCGCTGGGACGCTCTTTGGCTTTTTACACCGGTGAAGAGAAAGATCGACAATCGACCAGAGTCGCATCGGTCGGTTCAGTCCACCGGCACGGAAGTTACAGCGGCGGCGGCAGCGGTCGCAAGGGCTCGAAAATCCACACACCCTGGGGTTGTCAGCGGTGGGACTGGGCAGTCTGGGTAGCCGCCCGAGACGGACCACGAGGGGCCGCTACGTCGCAGTTCGTGGGTGCCCATCTCAAATGTCCACGGCGGTGCCAAATTGGTCGTGACGTTCGGCAACTTTTGGTGTTTTTTCGCGTGGAATGTTTACGCGTGACAACAAATCCACTGCCTTCACCATCCCGCACTCACCGGCGTGGTGAGGTTTGGTCTAGTAATCCCCCTAACCGGGAAGCCCTGTGTGTATTGTGTAACATTAATTACCTTTCAGTTGAATAATTTTTTATTTAATTCATACAATTATAAATCTTTCTGTACGATTTACAATAAGTTACCGCCAAAATACTGCTGTTATTATTCGTGTGATTTGATCAACATTATTCAGCATATTTGCAGTACTAAAATTAGCCATACAAGTCAACTTTTCGAATTTCTCTCAGTTTCTCGTTCGTCGCTGTCACACAAAAAAAGCCCTTCTCGATGTGCAGACCTCGGAGGGAAAAGCACAAGTTGCTGGTGTTAGAAGCCTGCGGTTAGTTTCACCACGGTCCGCGTGACACCGATTGCCCGGCACTGCTGCCCCGTGGCGCTTGCACCGCTTTTCCACCGGCACGTCTGAGCCGAGCCCATTGCGGGGGCCCTCACGGTTTTGTTTTCCCCCACCGGCTATTTGCCGAGCCGAGCCGGAACCCAAACCGTGATGCGCTGGCCTCGCAAGAAGACGTGCGTGTGTTTGTATTGTGGAACCTCGTTGGCACCGTACGTAGCCAACCGCGCTAATCGGAGGTGCGGGGGGAAGGAGAACAAACTAAACTCAAAATTCACTTTTAAAGAAATGAGTTTCAATCAAAATTATTTAAAAGTGCAAAGCTCCCAGTGGCTTCCTAATAGCACCATCTGACTCGGGGCCAAGCAGGGCCAGGCGCGGGGCTACCGCCGCATTCCTCGGTACACTGAGAGGGCACGGCATCCTCACGTCAACTGTACACGCGCGTCTCGACCCGTTTGTCGATTGTGACGTCGGCGGACCGGCTCGGCTACTGCAGTGGACCGGCTGGCTTGGCTGGCTTGGCTCGAGCCCTGGTGCAGCTCGGTTGTGCGGTGGAAAAGCGGTCATTGTCACGCCGGCCCGGGGAACGCATGGCCGGCCGGCGGGGCAGCTGGACGTACTGATTTCACAAAACTCTCCCAAGAAGGCGGTCCCGCAGTCGCACAGCGGCAAGGTGGTGTTGCTTTGGCACTGCCTGTTGTTGTTGCACGGGTTGGGCAGGCACCTGTCAAAGCCTGTTTAGTTTATGTAAAAAATAAAAACACACGCGCGCACCTCCGATTAGCATGGTTGGCTGTGTACGCTGCGAAAGAAGTTCAACATACAGTGCATTCATACGTCAGGCACGTGGATCGCCGTTCCTTCAGTCTGCTTCTTCCTCTCCCCCTCACTTGGGGACCTTGAACACGGCAGGGAGATCGAGGGCGGCTTCCCCTCGCCTCCCTCGACAAGTGAGTTTCGGGTGACGCCGTCACCTCAACCACAGGGCGGCGTCATACCCGGAACGATGGCGCCAACACTCGCGGGCAGGAATCCAACCGAGGTGATGTGAATCGCACGGCCGATTGTATCCACCGCACCACAACAACTTAGTAACACCCCGCCACAAACACACGCGTACAAGATAAAACACACAGCTGACAACTGCAATCCGAACATTGTAAATAAGTTAAAGGTAAAGGCGCAGCCCTGCAATTGCTCACTCACGCTACTGCTGGCGGAAGGGCCTCCAGTAGAGAGCCCCTCTAGAGGGCATCTAGGCCCACTGCCCTTCCACACTGGCCAGACGTCTCGGAGTACCCACACTTGACCCCACCACACGCGTCCTGCCCATCGACGGACAGAGGTGCGGCAAGTTGAGCAATCCGCGGCACTCCTTCGACCGCCACGCCTGGGAGACCGAACCGCACCGGCGACCTCCACGTTGCAAAAGTCCGGCGCGCTGTCCGTTCCATCGCGACAGCGCCGGCCTGCCCAAGGGCGCTCGCTGGGCGCAACGGACACACTCACCGGTGCTCTTGACGCTGGTGGTGGGGGGCGTAGTCGGCGTGCTGGTGCTGATGACACCCGCGCTGGTGCTGGGCGACTGAGAGCTCGTGCTGCTAGGGGTTGTGGTGGTGCTGGAATTTGTGGTTGTGGTGGTGGAGTTTGTGGTGGTGATGGGGGTTGTGGTGGTGCTGTAGTTTGTGGTGGTGCTGGGAGTTGTGGTGGTGCTGGGGATTGTGGTGGTGCTGGAGTTTGTGGTGGTGCTGGGGGTTGTGGTGGTGCTGGAGTTTGTGGTGGTGCTGAGGGTTGTGGTGGTGCTGGAGTTTGTGGTGGTGCTGGGGGTTGTGGTGGTGCTGGAGTTTGTGGTGGCGCTGGGGGTTGTGGTGGTGCTGGAGTTTGTGGTGGTGCTGGGGGTTGTGGTGGTGCTGGAGTTTGTGGTGGCGCTGGGGGTTGTGGTGGTGCTGGAGTTTGTGGTGGTACTGGGGGTTGTGGTGGTGCTGGAGTTTGTGGTGGTGCTGGGGGTTGTGGTGGTGCTGGAGTTTGTGGTGGTGCTGGGGGTTGCATCGCCACCACCGCTGCCGGGCAACGTCGAGTTCATGCCGCCGAGCGTGCTGTTGCTGGGTTGTGTCCCCGTCACGGACGTTGCCGCGGTGTCTGGAACAAGAGGAGGGTGGTCACGGTGACGACGCGCCCCGTGGCACACGAGTATAACGCGTTTTTGCCATGACACGGCCCTTCCATTTGGGAACGCTTTCCGCGCAACGCAGAAAGCGCGCACTGTTATAACGCAGTTTCTGAGCGGGTTAGCTTTGGCAATTCACGCCGATACAGCTGCATGACGTATGCCTGCCACTAAGTGAAACACTATTCCCCGTGTTAAAACATTTAATTTAGTCCGTTGAAATATTGATTACCAAGAGCAGCTTCTGCGTGACATTTAAAAACGCGGCGTGGATTCAACAGCAACGAAGCAGGATGTGGGCCACACTCAAGAGCGGGGTTCGGGACGCGGCGCTTATCCAGGCAGCGGAAACCAAAGTAAATCCACGAACAAAAGACGCAACCGGAATTCCACGCAGGTTGTCGCCGTCCAGACCGCCCCCAAACAAAAAAGACCGAACACAAATGCCGGATGAATGAAGACTGCGCCGGGAGGAGCTTCTGAGAGGCGTCGCTCACTCACCGGGACGCGCGGTGCCGTTGCTGACGACGGCGTCCGGAGGTCTCGCGCTGGAGGAGGTTGACACGCTGGACGGGACCGTGATGCCTGGCACGCGAGACACTGGGCGTTAGGGCAGCGATCGTAAGACTCTGAACGCGTCAGCTACGTCGCCGCGGCGATGGAGTGGCGCTTGGAGTGAGGGCGGACAGCTTGTGGGGGTTAGCGGCGGCTGCGCTTGACCGTTGTGCTATGGCAGCTCAAGGGAGGGGCCGTACAAATGTTGAACTTTCAAACCTCTGAAGGAGGTAGAAAGTCGAATCTTGACAATTTTGGGCCACGTTTTTCTGGGAGTAAAATTTGGAACCTTTGAGATCAGGCGTCACAAAACGTGCACGCTCCGAAAATGCACACTCATTCCAAAACACGCAACGCATTTTCCAATTTTAATAAATAAGAACTACTTTTATCATTTTGATTTAAAGCTTTCGTGACTGCAGTAATTCATATTCTTAGTTTTTTCGGTAAAGTCACGTTGAAGAGAAACAACAAAATAACAAAATATATATAAAACAATAAAAAATTCTCACGACGTTTCGACCATAACCGTTTGAGTTATGGTCGAAACGTCGTGAGAATTTTTTATTGTTTTATATATATTTTGTTATTTTGTTGTTTCTCTTCAACGTGACTTTACCGAAAAAACTAAGAATATACTTTTATCATGTTAATCGTGTCACTACAACCCCGCAATGTCACCAATCTCACCAGTCACTCACAGCTAAATGAATGTTAATGATCACGTCGGCATGCACGTGCAATGCACTGCGAACTTAATAACAAGTACTCGAACTTACAAGCGCTTGTCCGCTGTACGTCCGCTGTACGTGTGTAATACGCACTGCCGCCGTACCCACTGTACGCATGAATGCTGTTCAACGTTGAATGAACGTCACACTTCAACTTTGCTGCAACGGCGCCGGACCGATGATGCAATCGACGGGTCGAAGCATGCATCACCTTCAGCGCACGTGTAACAATCGACGCGTCGAAGCATGCATCACCTTCAGCGCACGTGTAACAATCGACTCGTCGAAGCATGCATCACCTTCAGCGCACGTGTAACAATCGACGCGTCGAAGCATGCATCACCTTCAGGGCACGTGTAACAATCGACGCGTCGAAGCATGCATCACCTTCAGCGCATGCGTAACAATCGACGCGTCGAAGCATGCATCACCTTCAGCGCATGCGTAACAATCGACGCGTCGAAGCATGCCCAAAAACGGAAAGCGTCAGCGGTGCTCGAGCGACGTCACGCCGGCAAGGCCCGCTACTGCTTGCCGACACCGCATGCTAAGCCAATGGGTGCACGTGCCATTGTGGCGTTACCTGTGGCGACGGTGCTGGGTGTGGGGATGGGCAATGTGAGGTTAGTAGCCGCGGTTGGATTTGTCACATTTTCTGTGCCATTGACGTTAGGAACTGCAGCAGGAGCACCGGTGTTAGAAGCAGGAGTTGGTATTGGCACAGTCTCTGTGAAACCGACGTTAGGCTTTGCCGATGTAGCACCGATGTTAGAAACGGGAGTTGGTATTGGCACAGTCTCTGTGACACCGACGTTAGGCCTTGCCGATGTAGCACCGATGTTAGAAGCAGGAGTTGGTATTGGCACAGTCTCTGTGAAACCGACGTTAGGCTTTGCTGATGTAGCACTGGTGTTAGAAGCAGGAGTTGGTATTGGCACAGTCTCTGTGACACCGACGTTAGGCTTTGCCGATGTAGCACCGGTGTTAGAACCAGAAGTCGGTGTTGGCACAATCTCTGTGAAACCGACGTTAGGCTTTGCCAATGTAGCACCGGTGTTAGAAGCGGGAGTTGGTATTGGCACAGTCTCTGTGACACCGACGTTAGGCTTTGCCGATGTAGCACCGATGTTAGAAGCAGGAGTTGGTATTGGCACAGTCTCTGTGAAACCGACGTTAGGCTTTGCTGATGTAGCACTGGTGTTAGAAGCAGGAGTTGGTATTGGCACAGTCTCTGTGACACCGACGTTAGGCTTTGCCGATGTAGCACCGGTGTTATAAACGGGAGTTGGTATTGGCAGAGTCTCTGTGACACCGACGTTAGGCATTGCTGATGTAGCACTGGTGTTAGAACCAGGAGTTTGTGTTGGCACAGTCTCTGTGACACCAACGTTAGGCTTTGCTGATGTAGCACTGGTGTTAGAAACAGGAGTTGGTGTTGGCACAGTCTCTGTGACACCGACGTTAGGCTTTGCTGATGTAGCACCGGTGTTAGAAGCGGGAGTTGGTATTGGCACAGTCACTGTGACACCGACGTTAGGTGTTGCTGATGTAGCACCGATGTTAGAAACGGGAGTTGGTATTGGCAGAGTCTCTGTGACACCGACGTTAGGCTTTGCCGATGTAGCTCCGGTGTTAGAACCAGGAGTTGGTATTGGCACAGTCTCTGTGACACCAACGTTAGGCTTTGCCGATGTAGCACTATTGTTAGAAACGAGAGTTGGTATTGACACAGTCTTTGTGACACCGACGTTAGGCTTTGCCGATGTAGCATCGGTGTTAGAACCAGGAGTTGGTATTGGCACAGTCTCTGTGACACCGACGTTAGGATTTGCCGATGTAGCACCGATGTTAGAAACGGGAGTTGGAATTGGCAGAGTCTCTGTGACACCGACGTTAGGCTTTGCTGATGTAGCACCGGTGTTAGAACCAGGAGTTGGTATTGGCACAGTCTCTGTGACACCGACGTTAGGCTTTGTCGATGTAGCACTGGTGTTAGAAACAGGAGTTGGTATTGGCACAGTCTCTGTGACACCGACGTTAGGCTTTGCTGATGTAGCACCGGTGTTAGAACCAGGAGTTTGTGTTGGCACAGTCTCTGTGACACCGACGTTAGGCTTTCCCGATGTAGCTCCGGTGTTAGAACCAGGAGGTGGTATTGGCACAGTCTCTGTGACACCTACGTTAGGCTTTGCCGATGTGGCACCGGTGTTAGAACTAGGAGTTGGTATTGGCACAGTCTCTGTGACACCAACGTTAGGCTTTGCCGATGTAGCACTGGTGTTAGAACCAGGAGTTGGTATTGGCACAGTCTCTGTGACACCAACGTTAGGCTTTGCCGATGTAGCTCCGGTGTAAGAACCAGGAGTTGGTATTGGCAGAGTCTCTGTGACACCGACGTTAGGCTTTGGTGATGTAGCACCGGTGTTAGAACCAGGAGTTGGTGTTGGCACAGTCTCTGTGACACCGACGTTAGGCTTTGCCGACGTAGCACCGGTGGTAGAAACGGGAGTTGGTGTTGGCACAGTCACTGTGACACCGACGTTAGGCTTTGCCGATGTAGCTCCAGTGTTAGAACCAGGAGTTGGTATTGGCACAGTCTCTGTGACATCGACGTTAGGCTTTGCCGACGTCGCACCGGTGTTAGAAACGGGAGTTGGTATTGGCACAGTCTCTGTGACACCGACGTTAGGCTTTGCCGATGTAACACCGGTGTTAGAACCAGGAGTTGGTATTGGCACAGTCTCTGTGACAACGACGTTAGGCTTTGCCGATGTAAAACCGGTGTTAGAAACGGGAGTTGGTATTGGCACAGTCTCTGTGACACCGACGTTAGGCTTTGCCGATGTAACACCGGTGTTAGAACCAGGAGTTGGTGTTGGCACAGTCTCTGTGACACCGACGTTAGGCTTTGCTGATGTAGCACCGGTGTTAGAACCAGGAGTTGGTATTGGCAGAGTCTCTGTGACACCGACGTTAGGCTTTGCCGAAGTAGCACCGGTGTTAGAACCAGGAGTTGGTATTGGCACAGTCTCTGTGACACCAACGTTAGGCTTTGCCGATGTAGCACTGGTGTTAGAACCAGGAGTTGGTATTGGCACAGTCTCTGTGACACCAACGTTAGGCTTTGCCGATGTAGCTCCGGTGTTAGAACCAGGAGTTGGTATTGGCAGAGTCTCTGTGACATCTACGTTAGGCTTTGCCGATGTAGCACCGGTGTTAGAACCAGGAGTTTGTATTGGCACAGTCTCTGTGACACTGACGTTCGGCTTTGCCGACGTAGCACCGGTGGTAGAAACGGGAGTTGGTGTTGGCACAGTCACTGTGACACCGACGTTAGGCTTTGCCGATGTAGCTCCGGTGTTAGAACCAGGAGTTGGTATTGGCACAGTCTCTGTGACACTGACGTTAGGCTTTGCCGATGTAGCTCCGGTGTTAGAACCAGGAGTTGGTATTGGCACAGTCTCTGTGACACCGACGTTAGGCTTTGCCGACGTCGCACCGGTGTTAGAAACGGGAGTTGGAATTGGCACAGTCACTGTGACACCGACGTTAGGCTTTGCCGATGTAGCACTGGTGTTAGAACCAGGAGTTGGTATTGGCACAGTCTCTGTGACAACGACGTTAGGCTTTGCCGATGTAACACCGGTGTTAGAAACGGGAGTTGGTATTGGCACAGTCTCTGTGACACCAAAGTTAGGCTTTGCTGATGTAACACCGGTGTTAGAAACAGGAGTTGGTGTTGGCACAGTCTCTGTGACACCGACGTTAGGCTTTGCCGATGTAGCGCCGGTGTTAGAAACGGGAGTTGGTATTGGCACAGTCACTGTGACACCGATGTTAGGGTTTGCCGATGTAGCTCCGGTGTAAGAACCGGGAGATGGTATTGGCACAGTCTCTGTGACACTGACGTTAGGCTTTGCCAATGTAGCACCGGTGTTAGAAACAGGATTTGGTATTGGCAGAGTCTCTGTGACACTGACGTTAGGCTTTGCCGATGTAACACCGGTGTTAGAAGCAGGAGTTGGAACTGGCACAGTCTCTGTGACACCGACGTTAGGCGTTGCCGATGTAGCACCGGTGTTAGAAACAGGAGTTGGTATTGGCACAGTCTCTGTGACACTGACGTTAGGCTTTGCCGATGTAACACCGGTGTTAGAAGCAGGAGTTGGTATTGGCAGAGTCTCTGTGACACCGACGTTAGGCTTTGCCAACGTCGCACCGGTGTTAGAACCAGGAGTTGGTTTTGGCACAGTCTCTGTGACACCAACGTTAGGCTTTGCCGATGTAGCACTGGTGTTA